GAATATTTATTGCACTTTCACCTTTTGCGGTCAAAAACCGAATCACCGCACGTAATTCGCAATTGGACACGTCTTGTATTGGCGCTTCCATGATTCAAATTTATTCAGTTAACAATGGCTGCAGTGAAGGCAACTCTGACTGCAAAAATGTTGCCAACATAGTCCAAAGAAAAAACCCTACAATGCACAAGCTATTTGTATAACTGGTTTTTTTTATTTACGATAGGGATACTTACTTTCGAGATGTTCTTCTTGTACAATATATGTATATTTATATATATATATATATATATATATATAAACAGATATAAGATATTTATACATATTGTTACGCCCTTGCCATGCCAATACGTGGTTCGCCGCTCACAAAGTAGGTCCCGTTGCCCGGCAACGAGCCGCTCAGCTGATTAACAAGATCGACAAACTTTGTGGTGGGGCTGACGCGCTCAGACGTACTTTCCACCTGGATATCTGATTTTCGTTTTCTGTGTTCCTGTGTTTGTTATTGCTTGTGTAAATAAAGAGTTCCTTTCTTATTTTATTCCTGTCTCTATTCATTTCCGCGGCTCAGGAGTGCGCGTCGCGTCCGCGAGCGTGAATTCGCGAATTGGGCGCAATATTTTGAGGGCTTAGCCGGAATCGTGTAATGATCGTTCGTCAATCATTACAAGGAAAAGAGCTCAAATGGAAAGTCCACAGAAAATGTTAGCACATCGAGAATTGGAGCAACAGTTCAACGACGGTTCAGCGAGCCGCTTCAAAGGAAACTTTTTCCGTCACTTCGAGCTGTTATTAGGTGTTGGAATTAATTCGTAGCGTTTTACAAGAGATGGCACAAGCAGTACACTATTTCGTTGTTACCTATAGTTCTGTATACATTGTAAACATCTATCATAGGACGTCATTTGCCGTACATAACCTTTCTTGAAATCATAAATAACAATACTGTATAATTCATTGAATATGTCAAAATTTGTGCCAGATAAAGTGTTTTTGCGGGGAGTTTTGCTTCATTACTTTAATATGAACAAAAGTGCAGCTGAAGCTCATCGTATTTTAGTGGATGTGTATAGTGAACATGCTCTGGCTGAGCAAACGTGTAGGAAGTGGTTTGCACGTTTTAAAGCTGGTGATTTCGACTTGGATGACAAGGAGCGACCTGGTCAGCCGAAAAAATTTGAAGATAACGATTTGCAGGCACTGCTCAATGAAAACTCATGTCAAACACTTAAAGAATTATCTACGTCATTGGAAGTTGACTTCTCAACAATAGGAAAACGTCTTAAAAGTTTGGGCATGATCCAGAAGGAAGGACATTGGGTCCCATATGAATTGAAACCAAGGGATATTGAGAGACGTTTTCTCACGTGCGAACTGCTGCTTCAACGGCAGAAAAGAAAAGGTTTTTTGCATCGGATTGTTACCGGTGACGAAAAGTGGATCCATTATGACAATCCAAAGCGCAGAAAGTCATGGGTTAAGCCCGGCGAACCATCAACATCAGTGGCAAAGCCCAATATCCATGGCTCAAAGCTCCTGCTCTGTATTTGGTGGGATCAGAAGGGTGTCATATACTACGAACTGCTAAAACCGCATGAAACCGTTACTGGAGATCTCTACCGACGGCAACTGATGCGCTTGAGCCGTGCATTGAAGCAAAAACGGTCGGAATACTTCGAAAGACACGATAAAGTCATCTTGCTGCACGACAATGCTCGCCCACACGTTGCAAAACCGGTAAAAACATACCTGGAAACACTTAAATGGGAAGTGCTACCGCACCCGCCGTATTCTCCTGATATTGCACCTAGCGACTACCACTTGTTTCGATCATTAGCTCATAGCTTGTGCGAGCAGAAGTTCACATCTTACGAAGATTGTACAAAATGGTTCGATTCCTGGATTTCATCTAAAGATGAACAGTTCTTCCGACGCGGTATTCATTCACTGCCCGAAAGATGGTCAAAAGTAGTAGAAAGTGATGGGAAGTACTTTCATTAATGTATTTTTTAATGCTCATGTGAAATAAATAACATTCTTTCATTAAAAAAACGCTACGAATTAATTCCAACACCTAATAGTATAACAGGTACAACAGCTGCCTGAGAAACAACGTCGTACAAGAGCCAAATTTATGGAGACGTTGCGACAGTGGGACACACAGCAGCAACAACAAGAAGAATTTGCGGCGACGTTGCGATAACGGGATATAAAGATTGCGCAGCTTCAGAAAAAACTGCGAGGAATTTCTGGAAACCAGCTAAGTCTCTCTCTAATAATGTTTTTAATAATAATCCACCCTTCCGCGTCGATGATCGTTCCGTTGTTACCATGAATGACATTATGCATGCCAATCCTGCCGCGAGTGTCGTCAATTTCCCAGATTCCGTCGGGAGCGTTGTCAATCACATGAATCCAGTTGCGAGCGCTGCCAACTTTCTTAACTCCGATGTAAATGACGCCAGTTGCACAAATATTGTGAATCATCGTGAATTGTCCGCGCATTCAGTTGGAAGTGTCGATCGTTTCGATCCACCTATGCTGCTTCGCGGGAGGGCATGCATAAAACTGAGACCAGACATTTACGACGCCCTTTACGCGAGTTTTTCGCGTAATTCAATCTCATCGCTCGCGCGAACCGTTGGGAAGAGGAAACAAAACCGCTGTCTCGGAGAGACGCATTCGTTACAAAACTATTATTCGTAATTTACTAATAGAAAACAGAAATTCGGAAAAAATATTGCCTCTTTGGGTTCTGACATAGAAAGATTATCACAGTTAGCATATCCAGAGTGTTCCGATTCGGTTCGCGATAAAATCGCATGCGCGCAATTTGTTTCCGCTCTTCTCGACGGATTCGTAAAAAGGATTCTCCAAATGGAGGAGATAACGTTAAGGATAGCAATCGAAAGAGGAAAGGCAATTAAATTGATTTAAGAAAATAATTTTCAACATAAAAAAGAAAATAATTTAAATTTCGAAAGAAAAATAAGGAAATGATTTTTATTAAAAAGGAAAAGAATTAAACTGAAGAAAAAGTGGAGAGAAAGAAGGAAACAAATCTAATGGAAATAAATTTAAAAGATTTCCAAAGAATAAAAATTTTGAGGAGCATAGAAATAATAAAGAATGTTGGGAATGTGGAAAGGAGGAACATTTCCGTTCTGGAAGTGTCCTGGCAAAGCGGGAAACAAGGAATAGTCGAGCTTCACGGAGAAGGCTCGACTGAAATAAAAGAATTCCCGAAAAATATTTATCACTTGAATGGCTTATGCTTTGGTGGCACTAAAGATAAGTCATGAATTTGTTATGATAATTGTTGTGCTAATCAACATTTTTTTAGAAAATATTCTTGTCCTACTAAAAATAAACAATATTCTTGAGGCTTCCACGGGTGCTTTCTATATAAATTATGCGTTCCGCGGGTTTCCTCCGCGTCCAGATTCATTCTTGGAATGCCAACGTTTCGTGAACCTTGCAGTTCATTTCATCGGGCGAGGAGCAGCCTGATACTGAACTGTTCCTTCGAGCCGTTCTTTTTTATATTATCCTAATTGTTGGAGTGGATTGTGAGGGAAAGAAGAGAATTGTGGGTTGGGATGGAGAGGTGGGGGAAATTGATCAATCTTCAAGACAAAAATACTCAAAAAACCAGAAGTTTGGTTCCGTTGTGTAGATGACACATGTGATATGGAGACACGAACTTCATAAATTCTTTATTTTCCTCTCAGCAACATCCATTTCATTATAGACATAGAAGAAAACGGAAAATTCCTCTTCCTAGATGTTCTTGTCTCTAAGAAAATTGACGATACCTTAAGCCATCAAGTGTACAGAAAACCAAGTACAATACACACAGATAGATACTTACGTGCCGAATCACACTACCACCCAACACAAAAACAGTCTGCAATCAACTCACTTGTACATAGAGCTTTCATCATCTCTGACAAAGAACATCTACAGACGGAACTCAATCACTTAAAACTAGTCTTATAGAAAAACGGATACGACAAAAAAGACATAATCAAAACAATCAATAAACATGCAAACAAGACAACAGTCTCTGACACAATTAGACGAAAAGATCCTATCCATTCTCTCATATGTCAAAGGAACAAAAGATCGGATTGGATATTAAACAAACACAATATCCGAACTGTCTTTAAATCTCCCAAAAAGGTAGGATAAATCTTAAGAAATCCTAAAAATCAATGACCTCCACTCAGTTCCGCAGGAATATACAAAATACCTTGTTCCTATGGGCAAGTATACATTGAAGAAACCGGGATAATGATCAATGAATAAAAGAACACCAACGTGATGTCAGGCTAAAACACGTTACGCAAGTAGCATTATTAGAATACAACATCGAAGCAGGTCATCAAATACTGTTTGACAAAACGACCACAATAGCCAACATTACTTTCCAAGAAAGTATAGAGAAGCTATAGAGATGCAAAAACATCCTAACAATCTAAATAGAAATAATGGCTAACATAAATAAAATATGGGAAACCATTCTTCCGGTTATTGAAGACTAACCAATTTCCCCCACCTCCCCACCCCTACCCACAATTCTCTTCCTTCCCCCACCACTCCAACAAGTAGCATAATATAAAAAGGAATGACCTGGAGGAAACAGCTTAATATCAAGCTACTTCTCGCCTTAATGAAATGGACTGCAAAGTTCATGAAACATTGGCATTCCAAGAATGGATCTGGACACAATGGAAACCCGCGAAACGCATAATCTTCAAAAATACACAATGTTTTAATAACCGATATATAAATTTTTGTCCCTAACTGTTATATTAATCAATGTTCTTTCAGGAAAAATAGAATTAAGAATAACGTGAAAGATTTTTGTTATGAAGGCAAGGTTAATGATAAACCTTGTCTTCTTAGAATTGATTGACAGAATCCGATATTTCAATTATAAATAGTAATTTTGTTTTTGAATCGTGTAAACTGAAAAAATAAAATTGACAATTATAATATTAAATATCCCACGAGGGAATAAGGGGGTTCCAATCAGATACAAAATCATAGTAAAAGTTCGACTTGTAAAATACTGTGTTGAGATACCAATGTTAATAATCGAAATAAATGATAATTGTATTCTGGGTATCGATTTTCTTAAATTACTTAATTTACAAAATGTTTTTGATTGCGTTTTCTCGGAACAGTTTCTGATTTTAAATGCGCTCACGTATTTGCGGAAAGAATTATAGAAAAAAAAGAAGAAAGTATTGCGTTTGCTGGAGTTCTGTCGAATTTGGTGATTTTTTGAGGAGAGCTTGCGCTGTTTGGGGAACCTTGAAAAAGAAAACTTTGCTAATTTTCTGAACAAATTTTATGATGTATTTTCTCATGATGTTATTGCGGAGAATTGTAAATTTGGAGAACATGTTATTAATGTGAAAGATTCTTCTCCCATCAAGCAGATACCTCGTCGTATCTCTTTGCAAATGAGAAAAGAGGTGGATGAAATTATTGTGGAAATGGAAAGACAAAGGGTAATTAAGAAATTCATCAGTCCATGGACATCGCCAGTGGTACTGGTTAAGAAGAAGGACGGTACAATAAGATTCTGTGTGGATTATCGCAAAATTAACACAATTACGATAAAAAAAACTCTTACCCCTTACTAAGGATAGATGATATTCTCGACCAATTATCAGGTAACAATTGGTTTTCTATCTTAGATTTGAAAAGTGAATATTGGAAAATTAAAGTTTAGAAGATAAAGAAAAGACGGTTTTTTCAATTGGTAACGGATTGTGGCAGTTCAAAGTTATGCTCTTCGATCTTTGTAATGTCCCGCTACATTTTTACAATGGAGCAGATTTTGAAAGGTTACCTTTCAAAATTTGTTTAGTTTATCTGGATGATGTGATTATTTTTGATAAAAGTTTTGAAGAAATGTTGTTAAACCTAGAAAAGATTTTCCATCATTTGAAGCAAACTTGAAAATAAATCCAAAAAAATGTGTTTTCTTTAATAAAAAAATTAAATATTTAGGTCATATCATATCAGCAGAGGATATTGCTACAGATCCAGAGAAAATAAACTGTGAAGGACTGGCCATTCCCTCAAAATAAAAAACATTTAAGGAATTTTCTTGGATTTTGCTCATATTATCGCAAATTCGTAAAAAGATTCTCTTCGTTGGCAAAGTCGCTTTATGTACTAACAGAAAATCAAACTAAATTTATTTGGAAAAGGAAATACCAAAATTCTTTTAATGATTTAAAACGAGTTTTAACTTCTCCGCCAATATTAGCATTCCATGAAACGGAAAGAGAATTTATTCTAGATACAGACGCGTCAAATGAGGGAATTGGCGCGGACCTATCATACAAGCAAACCGGTATAGAAAGAGTGATTTTATATTTCAGTCAAACATTAAGCAAAGCCGAAAGAAATTATTGCGTCACGCGGCGTAAACTTTCAGCCATTAGTACGATTAGTGAAATCTTTCCATCATTATTTGTATGGATGTAAGTTTCTTTCGGACGGATCACATTTCGCTTAAATGGCTGTTGTCGTTTAAAGACTTAGAGGGACAATTGGCGCGTTGAATGGAAAGAATACAACAATACGATTTCGAGGTTGATTATAAGGTCTTTCTCATAAAAACGCGGATTGTCGAGGCGGCCGTGCGCCAGTGATTATTGCCGCTATTGTGCTAACGTGGAACTAAAAGAAGCCACAAAGCAGGAAAGTTATGTTAGAAGAATGGTTTTACAGAAGGCAGTTGCGAAAATTGGCGTAAGGAACAAATGAAAGATCCCTGTATTTGCTTATTTTTATCAAAAAAAGAAGCGAACGTGAGACGTCCTTCATGGCAACAAGTGGCGGCGATGTTTCTACCAAGGTGTATTGGTCCTATTAGGATTCTCTCGAAGTTAAGGACAGTGTACTCTATAAAAAATGAGAGTCTCCTAATCTGAAGAACACAATCTTCCAATTAATTGCGTCCAGAAAACTCATAGCACAAATTTTTGAGAAGAAGAAAATGGCGTTCCCTTCATGAAGACGGAAAGATGTCCGAGCGAGTTTCGTCCTATGAGGGAGTAGCTACCCTCCGAGGAAAAATTGAAGAGGGGTCCTGTCCAGAAGGGAAGAAGGCCTCAAGAATAAACTTTGAGAGGAAAGTCGGAGACTTCCAAGGAGACCAAAGCTCAGGAAAACTGTTGTAGCAGCACAGTAGGGAGCAAGAAATTGGTCCGGAGGGTGCTCCGAATTCCTTTGAGAGGCCAACGTTCTTGGAAGAACCAAAATTGTCGGGACGACAATTTAAGAGAAGGGGAGCAGTGTTACGCCCTTGCCATACCGTGGTTCGCCGCTCACGAAATACTGAAGATTGCATTGCCCGGCAACGAGCCACTCAGCTGATTAATAAGATCGGCAGACTTTGCGGTAGAGCTATCGACATGCTTTCCGCCTAAATATCTGATTTCCGTTTGCTGTGTTTCTATATTCCTGCGTTTGCTTGTGTAAATAAAGAATTCTTTTCTTATTTCATTTCTGTTTCTATTCATTTCTGCGGCTCAGGAGTGCGCGTCGCGTTCGTGAGGTGCATCCGCGAATTGGGCGCAATATATTTCATATCAATAACTATTTTTTAATAAACAAACATGAAGCCAAATAGAAAAAAAATTGCCAAAGAATTTATCTATTAAAACAAAGTTGGAGATAATTGAAGAATCCGTTACGTATATTTTATTCTTATAAATTAATCACATGCATGCACGCAGTGTAAGAATTATATAAGATAATATTTTTACGCTTTGTTGTACAATAATTAAAGATGCGTGATATAATATAAAGAAATAAATAAGTACATATCTGAATAAATATATCTGAAGTATAATGTGTTCTTTGTATTCTAATTGATCCCCTCTAATTCATCCCGTTATTCTATTTATAAAAGTATTAAAGTACGTTTCGATAAAAAAAATTAATAGTTTACGAGATAACGATTAGATTCAACGTTTTATGAGTGCCAGATATCTCAAACTATTAGTTTTTTTTTCATATATGTACCTTAATACTTTTATATGTAAAATAATTAGAGAAAACGTATTTTAAAAGTCATATATACATATAATAATTCATTTAAAAAAGGGGAGGTAACTTCTATATCTATTTGATATCTCCATCTAGAAAAAAAATGTGGCCAACAAATACGTCTCCCTCAAAACTATTCCACTTTTACTTAAAATTCATTTCTCCTCTCCCCATTTTCTCTTCCCTCTACTTTATTTTCTCCCTCTTATGTTCCCCTTTCTTATTAATTTACCACTCCAATCTTCTTGTCTTTATATTTTGTACTTCCCATTGTCACTGAGCATCTTAGAGGGATGATTACATTTAATCTCATCGCATTGCCTAATAAGAGATAACATATCACTTCGACATACAATAAAAGGTATTTATTTTCAATTTACTTGTGACTAAATTAAACACATATAATGTATGACGGTACATCACACATTCTCTACCCGCATTAATAATTCTTATAACAAAGCTATGTACATTTCTCATAATATTAGATTTTTTGTCTTTTTATTTTTATTTTTATTATTTGCGACTCGTTTTGTACCTTTCTTTTTATTACTTGCGACTCGTTCTGTATTTTTTTTATTATTTTTGATTTCTTATTCCTGTGGCAATTTTACATTATATTTCGTATTTTCTAACAGAAACATGTTCATCCTTAATCTACATACACAAGCCAGAGGAATACTTGTTGTCGATTACAACTTCTTTATAACTTTCATTTTATATTGAAGCGAGATTTATATTTGATACTGCCATCGAGAGCGAATTTTAATTTGTATGTTATCTATGTGATATTTCCATTGTTATTTTTGTTCACATTGAAAATGATCCAACAGGGATCGAAACGTTTGTTTTGTTTTACTTGTTACCGGTCAAATTAAAGTTTATATTAGGTGTTGGAATTAATTCGTAGCGTTTTTTAATGAAAGAATGTTATTTATTTCACATGAGCATTAAAAAATACATTAATGAAAGTACTTCCCATCACTTGTAAAACGCTAAGAATTAATTCAAACACCTAATATTTTAACTTGATGACATGTTTTAGTGATTAATTGTTCAAAAAATTCTTTTATTTTATGATAATTGTTTTAGGCTTGTAGTCCTTCTTTTTTCTCTTTGTTTACCTAAAATATTTTTCGTATTTTCTATGTTTTTTGAAATATTTGTCTATTACAAATACAAATGATGCTTGCAAGCGCTAAAAATATCAAAGCAAATGCACATACTGATTCATAAATATTATAGATAGATAGATAATAGATAATGAAAGAGAGAGAGAGAGAGAGAGAGAAAGAGAGAGATTAATTGACTGAGCATTTATTATTGTTCTAGGACTGAGCCTTCTAAGAATGCACGATAGTGGTTGTTGAAGCAAAAATTACAAATTACAAATTACAAATTACAAATTACAAATAACAAATTACAAATTATAAATTTCAAATTACAAATTACAAGTAACAAATTGTAAATTACGAATTGCAAAAATATACAAAAGATATCAAAGATAGAATAAAATAAAGTGAAAGGCTTAAAATAGCGAGGAGATGAATGAAGAAAATGATATGCAATGATGTAATAATGGAGAGAGAGAGAGAGAGAGAAAGAGAGAGAGAGAGAGAGAGAGAGAGAGAGACGGACGAAATTATAACGACTTACGAAAATAAGAATCTTAGCAGCTTAAATAATTAGATTCCTTCACTACATCAAGGTGATTCTTATGAAGAGGAAAAATGGGAGATAGCAAAAATTCAGAAAACAAATCTGCATTTTTGCTAATTAAGTAATAAAAGCGTTTAATTAATTATAATTGTAATTATTATTGTAATTAAGAAGCGAAATGAAATGCAAGTAACAAAATATTTTATTATTTACTCGCAATATTTTATAAATATTATAAAAAATGATGGATTTTTTTACTTTTACTTTTCTTTTATTTATTTAGTAATATATTCAGATAGTACAGAGAGTACAAAAAAACAGTTCAACAAAAAAGTTCAAAAAGAATTCAGTGATGTCGTCAGTGCCACGCATTGTCACGTGTGCGAGAAATCATTCGCGCCTGACGATACGCATGTACGCAATCGTTGCCATTTGACTGAGCGATACAGAAGCCCTGCTCACTCAAACTGCAATATAAATTATAAGGATTCGCGTTGCATATCCATAGTGTTTATCTGACTACGACGCGCATTTCATCATCAAAGAAATTGACATCGCGTATGAAGGACGCGTTGATCTGCTTCCTTGTAACAAAGCTATGTCTTATAACAAAGCTATGTACCGGGCTTCACGTGGGACGCCATGTTGAAACATACAGGTGTAACATTTGAACTTCTTACAGACATTAACATGGTAATGATTATTGAGCGTGGTATATACGGTGGTCTGAGCCAGTGCTCAAACAAGTACACGCGAGCCAACAACAAATACATGCCGTCGTACAATCCAATCGAAATCATCATCGTACTTGATGTATTATGATGTCAACAATCTGTACGGCTGAGCGAAGTGTCAACCATCACCTTACGCCGATTTTCGATGGGTTGACGATGTGAGAAATTTTGATTTTACGACCATCGCGTTAGATTCGTTGACTATAGGCTATATGCAATATATAATATACATGTATAATAGGCTAAAATAAACTGTATTTTCGATATGGATGTGAAGTACCTGTAACATTTTCATGACGCGCACACTGACCTACCGTTTTGTTTGACGCGCGAGAAATCACCCGGCAAGCTCCTCGCAACATTGTGCGATAAGCTACGTTATACATTATGACAACCTGTAGCAGTGTATTCGTCACGGCCTTCGTATCACAAAGATTCACCATATACTGCAATTCGCGCAATTTTTATGACTACGCGAATATATTAAACTCAACGCAAAATTTAGAACATTGGCGAAGAATGATTTTGAAATAAATTTATACAACTAATGACGCAGTATTTGGTAAAACCATGGAGAATGTGCGCGATCAAAAATCGCGTCAACGTGCACCTCCTCACGAAATGGGAAGGCAGATACGATGCGGAGGCAGTGATCGCCAAATTTCCATAGTCGAAGTATCTTTTTGGAGAATCTAGTCGTGATAGAATTAGAGCGTCAGCTCGAGGTGAAGTTCGACAAATCGATACATGAGTATGTACATCTTCGACATATACAAGACGTGTTTGTACGAATTTCACCACAAGTACATGGCACCGTTATTTCGCAAAAAATGGAAAATTATGTATCGACATAATTATAGTCTCATATATTCATAGGACTTAGAGCGAAAATGTATGCGTGTAGAAGGAAAGAAGGCAAAGGACGTCAAAAGCAACGTTGTAGCGAAGTCTATAACATTTGAGGATTACACGCGGTGCTTGAATGACGCAATCGAAATAACGCGCTGGCAGTCGTGCATAAGATCCAAATTGCACGAGGTGTACACGTTATCGGAAACAAAAATCGTTCTAAGTCCACACGATGATAAGCAATATATCGTGCCAGGTTCCACACTGCCATGGGGGATATTATCGGTGTAAATAAAACACATATGTATTGTATGTATAATATATTAGGTGTACAAAAAAGTTCTGAGCTTTAGATTTGATACAACCGAAATAACAATTTAAATTTTATATATCTTCCCGCCCTTTTGCGGTTTTAAAGCGTTAACATTTGGCCTTCTAAAATGTCATACGATTTGGCGTTTGATGCACATAATCTCAAAAATCAGTAGTGTTCACGATGGCAATAACAAAAGAGCATATTCGATTTTCCATCCACTTCGCGTTTCATCTGAAGAAAAATGCTACTGAAGCCACTGCAATGATTTGTGCTGCATATGGAGAGAACGCTGTAAGTCATGCTACATGTAAAAGACGGTATCAAAAGTTTCGCAAAGGAGATTTCAGTCTTAAAGATGAATCGCGTGCTGGACGCCCTGAAAAGATTGAAACGGACGAATTGCAAGCACTGCTGGATATAAACTCTGCGCAAACTGAAAAGGAGCTTGCAGAACAGCTTGGCGTTACGCAGCAAGCCATTTCCGTACGATTACATACGATGTTTTGATTGAATTTTACAAAAAAAAGCTCAGAACTTTTTTGTACACCTAATAGTATGTATAACACGTAGATACTATGTATAATATGTAGATATAATATGCATAATATGTATACAATATTCATAATTTATATAATATATATATCATATTTATAATATGTTTAATACGTTTAATATGTATTTATATTTTTATAATAAATACAATTTTTACAACACGTTATCTTTACGTATCCACGAATTGTATGAATTGTCAAATCCTACCATTTCACGTAAACCTCGTTCCTCCTTTCGCGCAACACTTTTTCAATGAGATACATCGGGATTAGCGATGCGATGCAATTTGTATTATGTGTATCGTAGAATCTTCCAACGATAAACTCTCCGGAAGAATTTTCCAATAG